TACTTGTCTTCCACATCGTGTTAATTTTTTAGGTTGTTCTAGTTGCTGACTTGGCACTGATGTTTGCTTACTTGGCACAGATGTATGATCACTTTTTGAAGTTGGAGACAAACGTTCATTAGGTTGTAACACATAAGCTGGTTTTAACCTATCCACAGAGATACTAACTTGTTTATTTTTAATTGATAGAAGAAAATATTTCGGGGTTCTTTGCAGTACCAAAAAGGTCCTTCATATGGGGGCTCCAAAAGTTTTTTTACTCTGTCAACCCGCAGAAACACGTGCGAGCATGTGTACAAATCTTTTGGGATGAAAATCTTTTGTTTACATTTGGATTTGGATTGATAGGGCTTTAAAAGGGCCATCTGATTTCGAAGATTACTTACAAAATTATCATTAGATATTGGCATGTTTGATTCTTCAAAGAATTCACCAGGTAATTTAATAGTTTTGCCATAAACCATTTCAGCTATTGTATACTTGCAGTCCTCATGTAGAGCAGCTCGCAAACCCATAAGAACTGTTGGTAATGTTTCTGTCCAATGAAGAAAATTATGACATCTAATAGCTGCTTTTAAAGTACGGTGTAGACGTTCAATTTTCCCATTACTCTGAGGATGGTAAGAAGTTGTATGGTTTACTTTTACTCCACATAGCGAAGCCAAATTTCGAAACAGTTCCGAAATGAACGGAGTTCCTCTGTCAGTAATAACACAAGAAGGTACACCAAATCGTGTTATCCAATGTTCATAAAAGGCTCTTGCTATATTTTCTGCTGTGATATTTGATAACGGTACCACTTCCATCCAAGAGGTAAACCGATCAATCCACGTCAAACAATAAGTGTATCCATTAGAAGGTGAATAAGGCCCAATTAAATCAATGTGCACAACACTAAATCTTTCGTCTGGTGCTTGATATTGAGAATATTCTGATTTTGTATGTTTAGTTACTTTATTTTTCTGACAATCGATACAAGTTTGAGGCCCACTGTTTAACATCTTTTTTTATATCCGGCCAAATGAATCTTTTAGTAATCTCTTTTACACAGTACTTCGGATTTCCAGGGTGAGCTACTAAACCATGAATTGCATTAAATATTTTCATCCGAAAAGTTTGAGGTATGAATGGTCTGATATTAGAAATAGAGGTATCGCAATATAAGAGTTTTCCTGATGGTAATTGGTGCTGTTTAATATGCAATGATTTGGAATGTAATTTCAACTGTTGCAGTTCATCATCATTAATTTGTGCATCTGCTATCAGGTTAAAATCAACAACAGGTGAATCGATGTCCTCAATCCTAGATAGGCTGTCTGCAACCACATCGTTTTGACCACTAATATGGCATAGGTTAGTAGAGAATTGTGAGATATATTGTAACTGTCTGAGTTGTCTGGGAGATGCTTTGTTATGATTCTGCTTAAAAGCAAACGTTAAGGGCTTATGATCCGTATAAATAGTAAAATTGCGGCCTTCAAGTAAATGTTTAAAGGATAAATATATACCCAAAAGCTCGCGATCGTAAGCGTTATAATTTTTCTGGGCATCATTAAGCTTTTTTGAAAAAAATGCAATAGGTTTCCATCCATTTGGTTTTCTTTTTGTTGAATAACTGACCCAATAGCCAAATCGGATGCATCTGTGAGAAGTGCCAGAGGGTAATCCGAATTGGGGTAGGCCATCAACGCTACTTGAGCAATATCTTGTTTACATTTTTCAAAACTTTTTCTGGTTTCATTGGTCCATAATATTTTACGTCGATCTTTTTTTTGTAGATCCTTTTCAAAAGTTCATGAAGAGGAGCTTGAGTGAGTTTCTGCGGCATTTTTTATGTAATTACGATAGAAATTGATCAGTTCCTAAGAAGGGACGAAGTTGGTGTATAGTTTCTGGAAACAGATATTCTGTGATAGCTTTAATTTTTTCAGGTAGAGGTTTTGAACCTTCAGCAGATATTTGATAGCCCAAAAAGTCTATTACAGGTACTCCCAAAACTGTTTTGCTAATATTAATTCGGAGACCATATTTATCTAAACGCTGGAAAATTGTTTTAAGATGTAAACGATGTTCTTCCTCGCAAGAAGAGGCAATCAACACATCATCCAAATATGAAAACACAAAGTCTAGGCCATAAAAAACTTCATTGATGAACCTCTGAAAGGTCGCGGGGGCATTTTTGAGACCAAAACTCATGACATTGAATTGGTAAAGACCAAAAGGTGTGATAATAGCAGTTTTTTCTTTATCTTCATCTGCTACTGGAATGTGAAAATACTCTTTAAAGAGATCAATTTTAGAAAATATAGTTTTATTTTATGAGTTAAAATATGTTGAAAATCTTGAATTCGAGGAATGGGATAATGATCAGGTACAGTTAAATCATTCAGTCTTCTGTAATCCCCACATGGGCGGAAAGAACCGTCTTTCTTTGTCACTATGTGTAGGGGACTTGCCCATTCTGAACTGGACGGACTAATGATGTTATTGTCCAGCATATATTTGAATTCTCTTTTAGCTATTTCCAACCGTTTAGAGTCTAATGGTCTTGCTTTACAACTTACAGGTTGTCCTTTAGTTATAATATGATGTTTCACATTATGCTTTACAGTAGAAATAAGAAAGTTTGGTTTCGTTATACTAGGATACATAGCAAATAAATCAGAATATTTACATAAGCTGCCCGTTGTATTTACAGTTTCATGAATAGAGATGGGTGCGATGTCACCATAAACTGCAAGGTTCGTCACACCATCAATTAGCCTTTTATGCTTTATATCAATCAATAAATTGAACTTATTTAAAAAATCTGCACCTAATATGGGTTTACTAATTTTTGCTACAATAAATGGGAATTGAAATTCTCGGCGTAAACCAAGATCAAGAATTAAAACTTCTGTACCAAAAGTATCAATTTCTGTATTATTTGCAGCATATAATTTATAGTCACTAATAAGTTTGTGTTTAGAAGTACGAGGAATAAAGATTACCTCTGCTCCACTGTCAACCAGAAAATGTAAACCTGTTTTTTTGTCCGTGATAAATAAGCGGAATTTACGGCAATTTTCTTTATTTACAGCAGCAAAGTCTGCCGCTAATTCCACTGCTGATTTTCGTTTTCCGGGGAGCTGTTTTTCCATGCACAGGGGGGTTTGCATCTATCAGGAAAACACTTTTCTCGAAAACAAAAGTGGAAATAACAGTACTTGCCATTAGGGTTATAACGGCTCCGAGATTTACTTCGATTATTAGATGATCGACTGCTATTTCTTGAGCGAGAACGAGAATTTCTTGTGACAGTTAGTTTTTCGAATTTATTATCCAAAGCTGCAATTTTTGTCGTAATTCAGCAATAGCATCTGTTCCTGGAGAAACAATACTGCTGGCACAGTATAGTTCTTGTTTTGGTTGCATTTCGATGATACGATCCGCCATCAGAGCTAGCTTTTCGATATCTTCATCACTAACGATTAAAATATTGCGCACAGTATCTGCCATTTTCTGCAGAAATAGTGTTTTAAGAACTTTATCCGAAATGCCATCGGTAGCAAGATTTCGCATTTTTTGTAAAAGTTGACTAGGTTTACTGTCTCCCAAGTCTATGCCTGTTAGCAGTCTCTGTAAACGTTTATTTTCACTTTCTTTAAAAGTGTTCAAGAGACGTTCTTTAGCAGCAGTATATTTGGTTTTGCTATTGTCACTTATAATATTCCATAAACTTTCAACAAATTTTGCTTCCAATTGCGATACTAAGTAGTTTGAATTTAGTTTCCTCGCAGTTATTCCACAAATAGAAAACTGTGCTTCTACTTGATGAAAACCATATCTCTGGCTTTTCAGCCCAAAAGGGAGGTATTTTAACACTTACCCCTGCTATTTCTTCTTTAATTGCCGATTCTTCACTTTCTGACAATCTTTTATCAATAATTCCGAGGTCACCAAGTAATGTGGTTGCTTGCTAAGTTCTTTTTTATAATAATTTAAATAGGCAAAAAATCAAAAGCAAGGAATCAATATTTTTTCCATATATAACATGTTTATTATTCTTTGTAGCCCTCACTAACTCCTTACTGATTTTATGGCATGACAACCTTCTGAAACTAAACTGAAACTAAAGGTGAAGTGAAAGTAGTAGTCATTATCTAGTAGAAGTAGTTGTAGTTATTATGATCAATAATAATTGTTGCCTACAGTACTCTGAATGGGTTTGTTCATATTCCATAATGATATAATTATATATGTATGTATTATAATAATGTATGTAATATAGTAATATAATAACAATAATAATAACAGTAATAATAATAATAATAATAATACTTAACTAATTCTGTTTTAAGAACATCATGACTACTTGACTTCAGACTACCAACTTACCAAAGACTCATCACAGTGTATGTCCATCTGAACTAACATGCTGTTTTAATTAAAAGCATTTGTTCCATGTCATACCATATATAACAATAACACCTTTTTTAGGGAAGGGTAAAGTAAAATAGTACTTTCTGATTATCCGCACATATATTACTGGCGACTCTGTGAATTGGCAAAAAACAGTTGTTTTTCTATCTTTACAGCTGATGGGTACTGTACTGTTTATTAATAATAATAATGAAATGAAGCATTTAATGCGAAAAAAACCTGTATTGTGGATATTTGCATTATTTACACGCAGTGGGTACTGTTTAGTAAAAAAGGTTGGTTAAATATATAAAGCTTGTAAATCTGTATGCATTCAGATACTTGAAAATACACCAAACGTATAACTGTTCTATTGAGCATTAAAACCTGGAGTGAAATAATAAGAAAGTACCAATACAATTATTAAAGTTTCAAAACATGTATTTGTTTCTTTCCTCATTTATTGTTCATTTTAGACAAAGTTTCAACTCTCTTAATTGAATAAAGACATATAAATGTATGTTTGAAAATTTAAGAAATAATATTTAAAACATGGTAAGAATTTAACCCTTTTAAAGCAGTTTTTTTTTCTCTAATAGCCAGTCTGTCCTTGGTGATAGTTAATGACAAGAAAAATGCTTTAAATGTTATTAAAAATGCTTCTGAAGTTCCATCTCTCCGTACTATGGTGTTGATGGATAAACCTGATGATGAAGTTCTCCATGCAGCTAAAGGGGCAAATATTGTTCTTTTGCATTATTCAGAAATGGAAGTAAGTAAAAGTTGATACATCATTGGCATTACACTAACAATCTCAAATCTCCCCCTAAAAAAACCACTTTTCTTAAAATTCTTTGGAAAAAATCATTTGTATTAAATCTTCTGGACATGCAGTAATCTCTGCTCATTTGCTTTAAATATTCTTGACAAGAATTTTTTTATATGGATATCTCCGTTTGCATGTTGTGTAGAACATTGTGAAGCAATTTCAAAATATATTCATGTAAAAAGAGGGAAAAGAAAATATACTTTTGGTTTTGGCTTAGTGCCAAGAGTATGCAAAAAGCTGATGGTTGCCTGGTTTTTAGCATTTTGAAAGTTTTTTTGCCTTTGAGAAGATGCTTCTTAAACTACTATATATTGAGCATGACCACATAAATAGCCTAGAAATATAATTTATTTTGTTTTGAATATGCATTTGACTCTATTGTTGCATCCACCAGTTTTCCTTACATGAATAATCTCCAGTGGTTGTGAAAAACTTGTCTGTTATTAAAATTATGGACATAACATAGTTATTGTGCATCAGTAAAATATAGCTGAGAAAGATGTATAAAAAACTGGAATAATTTCTGTGTTTATTTCAAAAACATTCATTGTAATTGTTGAAAAGTACTGGAAAATGGCCACAGTAAAAATCATCCGTGAAAATGCTAGGGGAAAAAAAAAAAAAAAAAACTTCTTTTGCTCAGTAAAATTTTAACTAGCATAAAATATCTTAAAAATTATGAAATGTTTAATTATTTTTGTACAGTGACATAAAAATATTCATATCATAGCAATAAGCTATTTTTTGAAATTATACATGTTTATTTTCAAAAGGTAACTTATCATACCGTAATTTTAGAGGCATCAAAATATGTATATATAAAAGTATTATTTGAAGCAATTGTTTAGTTTTTAATTTGTATTTTTAGTTACACGAAATTAAAAAAAAAAAAGTAAAGTTGCTTTGTTTTTCATGCTAATACTTTCTGTTTAATTCTGTAGACAAATATAATTTCTTGTTCAGTCATAAATTTCTGTAGTCCAAATCCTGTAATTGCTGTGTCAAGAATGCTGACTAACTTGTCAATCAAAATTTTTTCATTTTCAATAAGATCTCTGTCAATTTCTTCCACTATTACTAGTGGTATTTTCTGGATCTAGAACCAGCCCACTAGCGGCCGAGCAGTAAAGTCGCTGAACACTGGTAGTTCGGTCCGAGGTTCGAATCCCATGAACGGGCTGGCTGCATAGGTGTTTTCGTGGTTTTCCATGTGTAATGTGTATACGGGCCAGTTTCCCTTAGAAAGTCCTCCACAAACGCATCCCTCCCCTTAGGCAGATAGCCCTCAAGGCTTTGCTGTAATTAAATAACCTAACCTAATCTAACCAGGATCTAGAACTATGCTACAGATTTTGCCAGCCATTGATTAATGATTGGGGCATTGTCATCACAATGAAAAACTTCTGTTATATCATCTTCATTTATTACCGCCTCTCCACAATTCTTTAGAAAATCCTATAATTGGAAAATTTCACTTTGGTTTAGAATATGCAAAAACCTTCAAATTCGCAGCTATCAACTTCATCATTCTTACCATAAAATATGGTAGCTGGCCATAAATTATGCCAAGCATTTTTTTAAAGCATCTAGAAACACATCCTCTCACGATCTTGCGATACTCCACCCAGCAGATTTTATGCTAAAATATTTCAAAAATTCTTGAATAGTCTTGCCATTATTCAAGAAATTTATCATGGATTTTGAAAATGTTACTTTATATGTGCATTTCAGCACATGCACTATTCCAATATCCTTAGGCTGAACGATTGCCATACACTTTGGAGGAAAAAATAACGTGGATACATTATCTTTCACTAAAACTCAAGTATGAGCCAAACAGTTGTATACAGTCAGGACAGTTTTTGCATCCTCAGATAAACCAACCGAATTCCAATGTTGCCAAGCCTCGGGTATGAAATTAATTTCAAGGCCAATCATTCATAAACACTTATGTCATCCATGTTCTTTTATTTGCACAAGATATAACAGAGAAAATTTTTACTCTTTTAAATGCTCAAGGTTGTGTATTTTTTCCGATTACAAGTTTACACTTGTACGTTTCTGCAGCATTTGCACATGCTAAAATTGTTAGTCTCGCTTTAAAAATCTTTGACACTAGTTGAACCCTTTTCTGTAGAAGATGACAGGGTATTTTCCAGTACATATTGCCAAAAAAGGACCAGCTTCATGATTATTGTAAATTTGTTCTGGAGATAACTTTTCACTATTTTTATGAGTTCAATGAATTCATCTACAAATAGTTCAGCAGCTTCAGTATCAGCTGAAGCTTTTCCACCTGGAAATTTTTAATTGCCTTATACCATGGCAATTTTTAAATTTAGTTACTCAACCTGTGAAATATGTGCACTTAGTTTTTAAGTTCATTTCTTCATAAAATATTTTGGCTTCAGCCATTAGCATTAGATCCGTCAATGGCACATTGTCAGACCCATTCAGTCATTACCTTGTCATGATCATCACTTTTAGCATAAAGAATAATTTTTCTGTTCTTCATTGTGAGTGGGATGTTCTAATCCACAAAAAATTCAAAAAGTTCATTTTTCTGTTTTCTTATATCATATACATTTCCTAATTTCATAATTTTTTCTCATCAACACTGACTTTCCAGTGCCATACTCCTTGTGTAATTTCAAGATGGATATACCTTTATCCATTTTTGCGGCAATTCCACTTTTTGTTTAATGGACAATGAAGCATGCTTTCCTTTTGGAGATCCTGTTGCAGCTCCAGAATTAGAAAATCTTTTCGACATAATCAAAAGTTCAAACTGTAATTTTCATAAAATTGCTGTAATAATAACAACTTGCAAAAAATAATAAGCTGGATCAAATCAGAAAGTTAATGAATAGTGCAATGAGCTATATTGCCTGTAATTCCTTGGAATCAGTAAAGTATAATTTTAGCCTAGCTTAACAGAGTCTGCTATACATTATTGGCTACATAGCATGAGATTGTCGACGAAGGACAAGTTGTTCTGCTAAATTTTGTCTTGCTTGTATCGTGTATGGAGACAATTAAGCCTAAATTGTATTATTTATTATACAGTCAAAAGTCTTTAATCCGGACTTACGGGACTTCGGCGATTCCGGATTATCGATTTTTCCGGATTATAGGTCATCAGTTTAAATCTGATAAGATGGCAAGCAGAAATTATAAATTTAAAAATATGAAACCATAATTTATGAAATAAAGAGCAATTATGATCTAAAGGGTATCAAATTTTACAAAAAAAAAAGCTTAGTATTTATTTGTTTATTAAACATTTCTTTCAACGCACGCATGCGTAAAGCATACATTATGCATAGTCGAAATTAGAAAATTGCAACCAGAAAACTATTTGATTTTGTATTCGTGATATTTAAAATGACGAGGAATTTGATTTAAATCATATCAAAGACGGAGTACGTCGATATGAAATACTACATTTAGTAAGGAATTATAAGCCGAATAAAATAAAAAAATCTGCCCTGAAGATAAGGATAGTGCTGACAGATCAACTTCCAGTTCATTGCACGCTGCGATGTTCCCCCCCTCTTCCCTGTGCAGAGCAGCATGAAAGTGATAAACAGATTTCGGAATGGTTAGAGAAACAAAGGAGCCTATATCCATTTTTTGCAGCAATTCCACTTTTTGTTTGATGGACATTGAAACATGCTTTCCCTTTGTAGATCCTTTGGCAGCTCCAGCATCGGAAATTCTATTTGATATAATCGAAAGTTCAAGCTTACTTTTATAATATTTCTCTAACAGTCTGCAAAAAATAATGAGCCAGATCCAATTCGAAGATTAAGGAACAACGCAATCTGCGACATTAACTGAAATAGATAATTAAATAATTTTAGCTTAGCTTTTACCGTCCGTTATACATTAAACGCGCATGCGTAAACGTATTATGTGCATGTGTACATGCATATGCACATGCGTAAAGGTATTACGCGCATGCGTTAATGCAGAAAGTTTGTAGCTTTGAGGACCGGATTATAGATCATTCCGGATTATGGGTGTCCAGATTAACGACTTTAGACTGTACTAATGTTTATTTAAGTCCTAAATTCTGCTACCAAGTGCCTAAGTTCTAAATTTTTGCTGCCTCTACATTTTGGGTCGCAATGCTTTCCCCAAGTTCTAAAAATTTTGTCATCCCTTAATTTTGTTGCTCGGATCTTCGCTAAATTCCAAAAATTTTGTCTCTCCTAAATTCTGCCACCTGGCGCAGCCATATAAGCTCTGGCTTTGTTCTGGGTTTATGTGAATAACAAATCAATTATTTTTAATTTAAATAACACTAAGTGTTCTTTGGTTTATGAGTATCATTAACAAAATCTATTCAGTTTACCGGAAAGTTCTGTCCATTTCTACGACAACAGTTCTCAACACCTAAGCACGTGTTTATTTGGTGCATGTTTGGCCCTCTATTTTTATCGTGTAATGTATACATACTCACATAACAAACTGACTAACTACTGATAAAGTTTCACTTTTGTCAGTACCCGTAGCTACTGATAAAGTTCATTATTTTATATGAATTTCAATAAGGAAGAAATGCTACAGAAATTTATTAAAAGTGTTTGGTGAAGGTAAAGTTTCTGACAGGATATGCAGAAGATGGTTCGAAAATTTTGAAACAGGTGATTTTGGCCTTTCTGATAAGTCATGTTCTGAGCAACCATCTTTGATCGACGACGATATTGTTAAGACCATGTTGGAGCAAGATCTTTTTTTGACAATATCGGAGATCGCAGAAAGCTCAGCAAACCATTTGGTACCATATTAGGAAGATAGGATTGGTGTGGAAATATTCAAGATGGGTGCCACATGAATTAAGTAAGAAGAATTTGGATGATCGAGTCATCATATGCACAACTGTGCTTGCTTGGAACAGAATCGAGCCCTTCTTGAACCGGAAACCTAGCCCTTCCCCT